GCAATCCACTCACCTCAGCCTCCCAAAGGCGCGGGATTACAGGCTGAGCCACCGAGCCCGGCTAGTATTTTATACTTTTTAGAGACATAATTTTACTCTGTCGCCCAGGTTTGAGCACAGTAGCACTATCTCTGCTCACCGCAGTCTCAACCTCCCAGGCTCAATCGATCCTCCTGCCTCAGCCTTTTGAGCAGGTGGGACTACAGGCATGCACCACCATGCCCAGCTAATTTTTATATTTTTTATAAAGATGAGGGCTTGCTATTTTGCCCAGGCTGGTCTTGAACTCCTGGACTTAGCAATTCTCCCGCCTCGGGCTCCCAAAGTACTGGGATTACAGGTGTGAGCCACTGTGCTCAGCACTTATAGGTTTTATACTGTGATGACAGTGTCATCATCTTGATGTCAGGGTGGCCTAGGCCACCATCTTGCTGTCTCTCTCCCATCCCATAGCCCCATGCAGGCATCATGAGTTCCTGCCCCGCTGCCGAGGAGGCCATTCTGAAGTCACGTCAGCTTAACCAGGACTGGTCAGTTTTCTACCAGGGAATGAGGTCTAGCCCTGCCCTGAGACCCCCTTTTGCTCTCTTTCAGGCCTGAGCCCCACCCCAGCTTCCTGCCACTACTTCTTTGAGAAGATCCCCCCACCTGGGGAACGCACGGCCCCCCAGTACACATTTGGCTATCGGTGCCCGTACAGAGTGTCGGACCCCAATCCGGCCCCCAACCGGTACCAGCTGCCGCGATCCCTGGGGCCCCACACCCCCGTCTACCGAGCTGCCCCCTGCTACAGCCTGGCCTCCACGGCCAAGAACTGGTTCTACCAGGAGAACGTGGCGGGAGGCCCCGGGCCCGCAGCGCACGCCCGGCCTGAGCCGTCCGTCTACCAGAACCGCAGCCCCATCTACAGCCTGGCCAAGCGCTTTGCCTACCCGCTGGACCACACGCTCCGGCCGGGCCCCGGCACCCACGAGGTCCGGCAGGTCACTGTGCACAAGCCCCGTGCGCCCGCTTTCACCATGGGCACCAAGCACTCGCCCCACCTGTGTCCGCTGGTCATTGACATTCGTGACTGAGGCCCTCCTGGTCCGGCCTCTGCCCTGTCCCCTACCCCCAACCCTGCCCCTGCCCCAGAGTTATTTTTCTATACTAAAGCGAGCAATCTGACTGAGATTTCCAGTAGCAGAGCTGGAGCCTGCTGATGTCCAGCATCCAGAGGCATGAGATAAATATTTTCATGTATTCATTTCTCCTTTTTGTAAACATGGTGACTTCCTGTGGGCCCTGCTTTTGGGGGGGGTGCTGAGGATGTTGGGAGGAATTATAGGGGTACCCAGGGGAGGAAGCCGCATGTCCTCCAAAGAGTCCTGGGCAGGGACTCAGGAAAGCCAAGTTCCAGTCCTGACTGCCACTGACATGCTTTGTGGCTTTGCACAGCATCTGCCCCTCTCTGGGCCTCAGGAAGAGGTCCAAGAGAAGAGAGCCAGGGAGACACCCAAGTTCTCCCAGTTCTAGGACCACGTGGCTCTGGTCCATGGCCATCCCTGAGATGGGAGCAGGGCAAGAGGTAGAGAGTGTTATTATTTTATATTATTTTACATACTATAAAGAGGAGGGAAGGGCCGTTCTAGTTGGGGGTGGGGAGAGGGGAGTCTTCCTGCAGGGGACTCAAGAGGACAAGTGGAGCCGATGGCTAGGGGGAGGACCAAGGTGGAGGTCAAGTTGAGAACAACGGCTTGCTGGAGCAGAGGGTGCAGGGACCGGGGGCTGGGACCCGGGTCGAGGATGGGTGGAGCCTGGAGGCCACTGAGAGGGGGCTGCTTGTCATACGCTGTGCTGGAGAGTCGCTTGCTACGTCCCGGCCTCCACGGCTCAGACTGGCAGCGCCTGTCGGGAGAAGCCGAGCTCTGAGCTGGCCAGGAGGGGGCAGTGTTGCCTCGTTTGTCAAGTCCAGGCCCACGTCCACCCACCCGCTGTACCTGCCGGCTTTGCTGCTTCTGGGTGGCGGGGCACCGGGTCCCCTGCTGCTTTCTGAAAAGGCTGGGCTTTCTGAGCTGGTATTCGTTCTTTCTAACTCTTGGTCTCCGGAGTCCCAGTTCACCTCCACCCCTGGAACTAGACCCTTTCCCAGCTCCTCGGCCATGGGAAGGTGTGGGGGGAATTCTACCCTGATCTAGCAGCCTGAGGCCAACGTGAGGCCCAGGGGTGGGTGTGTATGTGGGGCGGGGGAGACACAGCTGAGACCAGCTCAGAGGCTGGGAGGGCAGATGGGGGCCCTGGGTAGGAGGAGAGGCTGGGTATGGTGGCACACACCTGTAATCCCAGCACTTTGGGAGACTGAGATGAGAGGATTGCTTGAGGCCAGGAATTTGAGACCAGCCTGAGAAACACAAAAAGAGCCTATCTCTAAAAGTAAAAATAAAAATAAAAACCTACTTACCTGGCCAGGCATGGAGTAATCCTAGCACTATGGGAGGCCAAGGCAAGAGGATTTGCTTGAGCTCAGGAGTCTGAGACCAGTCTAGGCAACATAAGGAGACCTTGTCTCTACAAAATAAACATTAAAAAAATTAGCTGGGTGTGGTGGCACAGGCCTGGACTTGACAAGTCCTAGCTATTCAGGAGGCTGAAGTGAAAGGATTGCCTGAGCCCAGGAGGTCAAGGATGTGGTGAGCCATGATTGTGCTACAACACTCCAGGTGACAGAGTGAGATCCTGACTCAAAAAAAAAACACCGAACAAACAAATAAATAAACAAACTTAGTCGGGCGTAGTGGTGATAGGTGGCTATAGGCTCAACTAACTACTCTGGAGGCTAAGATGGGAAGATTCCCTGAGCTGGAGGCAGCAGTAAGCTATGATTGTGGCACTGCACTCCAGCCTGGGTGACAGATCAAGACCCGTCTTTTTTTAAAAAAGGGAGGGAGGCCGGGCTCGGTGGCTCAGCCTGTAATCCCAGCACTTTGGGAGGTTGAGGTGAGTGGATTGTCTGAGCCCGTGGGTTTGAGACCAGCCCAGGCAACTTGAGTCCTCATCTCTACAATAAATAATAATAATTAAAAAATTAACCAGGCATGGTAGTGCGCACCTGTAGTTCCAGCTACTTGGAAGGCTGAGGCAGAAGGATCGCCGGAGCCCAGCAGGTCAAGGCTGCAGTGGCCGGGAGCGGCCACTGCACTCCAGCCTGGGCGACAGAGTAAGACTCCAACTCAAAACAAACAAACAAACAAATAAATAAAATTTAAAAAGGGAGGGAGGTGAGGAGGGGTGAGAAGAGCCCCCAGACCTGAGCATGTTCTGTAGCCACCATCAGAGAGCAGGGGAGATGGAGGTGGGGGCCCTCAGAACGATGTCTACGGCTCATCCTTGTAAACTTGAGCCATTCCCAGGCTTAACTGAAAACGAAAATTGAAGACTTTACTTTGGACAGAAAGGAACAGAGAATACCTCTGGAATATTAAAAAAAAGCCACAGTGAAATATTGAGCAAAGAGGCTTGTGGTATCCCCACCAGGGATACATGTGACTCCGGGCCCTGAAATCCCCTCCCCATCCCAACCGCCCAGGGCCTGGGTGTCGGGTCCGTCCGTCCTCTCAGTGAGGCTGGCCTGGGCAGACGCTGGAGAGGCTGAGGGAGCTCGGGGACCCATCTGTCTTGTGGCAGATTAGATAGATGTCATTTCACCGACAATGCCATTTATCACAGTGGCTGCAAAAATTAGTGATGCTTGGGCTGAAAGTGGTGGGTGGGGGTGTGGGCTGGCATGTGACAGCCACCGATGCTCCCTAGCATTACCAGACCAGGGGAACGGCAGGTCAACCCCGGCCCAGAGGTTTTCTGATTGAGTGCCCAACCCGGGTGAAGGTCTTCCGTTGGGAAGAGGAGGAAACGGAGGCCCAGAATCTGTAAATAACTTTGTCCACATGACAAATTCATGGCCTGTCTCTAAATAAAGGTCTAGGCTGCTGTGTGTGACCAGTTTCAGGACTCAATGTGTGACCAGGATCAGGGCTCAGTGTGAGACCAGGGTCAGGGTTCAATGTATGACTAGGATAAGGGTTCAATGTATGACCAGGATCAGGGCTCAATGTGTGACCAGTATTGGAGCTCAGTTTGTGACCAGGATCAGGGCTCAATGTGAGACTTGGATTAGGGTTCAATGTATGACCAGGATCAGGCTTCAGTGTAAGACCAGGATCAGGGCTCAGTGTATGATGCGACCAGGATTGGGGCTCAGTTTGTGACCAGGATTGGGGCGCAGTGTGACCAGATCAGGGTTCAGTGTATAGTCAGAGTCAAGTCTTGGTGTGTGACCAGGGTTAAGGCTCAGTGTGTGACCAGGAACAGGGCTTAGTGTGTGACGAAGGTTAGGGCTTAGTGTGTGATCAGGATCGGGGCTCAGTGTGTAACCAAGGTTAAGGCTCAGTGTGTGACCAGGAACAGGGTTCAGCATGTTACCAAGATCAGGGCTCAGCATGTGACTGGGATCAGGACTCAGTATGTGACCAAGGTCAAGGTTCAGTATGTGACCAGAGTCGGGGCTCAGTGTGTGACCAGGATCAGGGCTTGGTGTGTGACCAAGTATGCAAGAAAACAGGCCATGAACTTGGGATCAAGCTTTGATGAGGCAGGCCCATCTCTTGCCCTTGCCTTTCCTGTGGGCATGCCCATGGATGGGTGATCTACAGAAGGTAACACAGGCATGGACTTCCAGGTTTGACTGAATGCTGATGACTTGGTGCCTCTGAACAACTCAGGGGTACAAGCATGACCTCACAGAAAGCCCTGGTTACATCCCTGGAGAACTTGAACCTGTGTCATGCACTCATCAGGCCCTGGAGCCTGGTACCCCACCCCACAGACATGCTATCCATTCACTTATTCATTCGACCACCACTTGCTGAGTCCCTGTCCTGTGTGCGAAGCTCTAGTGGGCCCAGGGTCACAGAAAGATGGACTTTACTAGAGCCCTGGACTCTGGAAGTCCAGAGGTTGGCTCAGTGGAACTGTGGATGCCCTCTCCAGTCATGAGCAGACATGGAGGGAGGGCAAGTCTCCCTGCCTGTCCGGGGCACACCTGGGCTTCCTCCCTTCTGTCTAGGGGGGGCAGGGAGAGGCCTGGCCTCCAATGTGGGGTCATCCCAGCCATAGACTGAGGATAAAATGCAGTCACACAACCCTCTTGGACACGGGCTGGGGACGGGGCTGGCCTCTGCTCATCTGTCGTTGCTGGAGAGAACTTGAAGGCCAATCCTGGTTCCCAGGAACTGGGAGGGAGGTGGTGGTGGAACAACAAGGGGCTCTGCCTGTGGGACACAGACACATCACACACGGACAAAGAAATGAAGACACCACACACGCGCTTGACCCCAGCCATGCACACACACTCACCTGATATTACACTCTCAGGGAAAAAAAGCACAGCACGGCAACACGCACCACACAGGTGCTCAGATACACATTAGACACGGCACACACCTTTTACCAACACCCCAGGCACCTTCTCAGCTCACGCACAGACCCAGGCCCACCCCATTGTCCCAGAGAAGTAAGTGGACACATCACAAGAATAACACACACGCGCACACACGTGCACGTGTGTTGCAAGAGGTGGCCAGGTGACTGGAGGGCGGGTGGGAGGGTCCCTGTGCTCATGCAGGAGTTGGGGCTTGACTCCTGCCCGGGGTCCGAGGCATCTCTGCTGCTCTCAGCCCCCAGCCTGGGCTCCCACACTTGGCTGGGGAGGGGTCATCCTGGGCCACCAAGACAGGCCAGATACCATCCCCTGCCCTCCATGCCGAGAGGCCACCCCAGGCATCCCGCCACCCGGCTCCCCTGTCCCTCACTCCTTGCGGGGTGGCTGGGGAGGTGGAGGGAGGGAGCATCCCCCTGAGTCCTGGGGGTCAAAGCCGCCTCCGGCTCACAGGGTGGGGAGTAACAAGCTCCTCCTGGCCCTCCCAGTCCCCCTCCCCGCCCCTCCCCTTTTGTCTGTGTCCCTGTGCCCTGTTTATCCTCCAGAATAAAGATCGACATTTCCAATTACCCCCAAAATAACAGAGCCGCCCTGGAAGGCCTG